TATATTCTTCGAACACAACTAATACACGAGAAAATATACGAACGTTTTCAAATCACGAAGACAGATCTAATCGCAGCTCCTTGTTTATGGAAAGGGCTGTCGTTAGAAGACAGAAAGTGATATGTTAATTGCAGCTCGTGTAGATATCCAGAGACTGCCTCGACGTTCTGCGCTGAAATACCTTGCAAGAATGATCTGTTTCGTAAGATCTTCTGAAGTTGTTTACCATGGGGTCTCTACCTAGACCCAAGGTCACTAAGATGCCGGAAATTCTTTCATTTTCGTTCTCTGACGTCAAATCTAACCTAGTTCAGATTACAATGGCTAAATTACTGATAGTCCAGATGTTATATATTATATATTTGAGGAATGGATCATAAGTGTAGCGTGCACCCATCGAGTTATGGATGAACGCGGGAGGTTGCTAAGCACGAAGAAAAGAAAGCGAAGCGGAGTGCAACTCTAGCTTTTTTGAGTGCTGAAGCAACCTCCCAAGTGCATCCATAACTCGATGGACGCACAGCTACTTATGATCCATTGCTTTTATAATATAGTCAAGTCAACAAACAATAAATGACTATACAAAATATAGACTGTATTTGTTGATCATGCCCTTAATTCTCCTTACGCACCTCACCTTGCGTGAATGAAAAGCACAAAGGCGTCAAAAACAGAAAAACAGTCGTTTTGAAAATGGCAACTTTACACTGAAGACTGTTATGGCTAAAATAATGGCAAAAATTTAGCTTACAAGTGAATCGAAAATGTCCAAAACTACGGAGAAAGTGATTTTCAACTGTAAGAACATTTCAAATGTTGACATATCTTAGTACAGTAATGCGAAGAAAATCAATGAAAAACACAGTGGCCGTCTTTGTTGTTGTTGAAGATGTTCAAGTTTGTTATCGTCAATGACTTATATTAGCAATGGAAAGCTTCTTGTACACGGATCGAAACTAACTGACTGAACTGGATTAATTTTCTCTGGGCTGCTGTGTCATGTCGGCTATATTATATTATATATTATACGGAATGTTGGTACAAATTATTCTTATAAATATTTTTTCATAGATAGGATAATATAATACATTAATAATTTAAATTTATCCTGAATGCTTTTATTTTCCTGCCTTCAAGCTTGACTTTTTCCAATCTTTGTTACAAACGTGAGAACCATCCAGTGTTTGTTTACACGGATACTTGGTATCTCGACAATATTGACGTCAGTGATGCCCTAAAAACATAACAAGAAATTTTTCCTTTGATCCTCTATATAAACTTTCTTTTTTGTTCATTGACATATTAAAAACTGATTGATGAATTCGAATGGAGGCCTACAGATGAGTCTAGCAGTTTACTTGCCATCTTGACAGGAACATAGTATGGAATGGAATGGAAATCTTTATTTAACACAATAAAWTTTTAAAGCTCATTTTTGTGGAGTCCCTTGAACTGACCTCTATGATACACTTTCATTCGCTATCTGATATTTAAAATTGTTTTTTTAAACTGCCCAGCGTTTCAATCAGCGTTTCCATTTCAATAATACAGGTCAACGTTAATATTTCATTTTATAGAAACGAGGGACAGAATTTTATCCCTGGGTTCCCGAGGATAAGTAGAACCCAGACCCCACACATTTGCAAAAGATATTTAAGMCTGTGTCAGCCTAAATCATTCTTTCCATGGCAGTGTGACTGATCGATAAAGCAAAGATTCTATYATTCAACAAACCAYGWAACAAGACACAAAGTCAGTGCAGGCATTAAATAATCATTTAATAGTTTTAAGCATATTATATCAAAAGTTTTAGGACATCGCCATTTATACGCAAAAGTTATTCTGCTGACAGACATCCCCTCCCCCTAGACTCTAGCCTGCTGTGCAGACGTTTTTAGTGTCGGCTCGTTCCGACACTAAAAACTCGAGCCGACACTAAAAACGTCTGCACAGCAGGCTACCTGGACTCTAGCCTGAGTTCAGTATACAATAGTACATGCGTCTGATGATGATGCCAGAAAATCCGGTTTTTAACTTGGTTATCCCCATATTATCTATTGATTTCGGCTTGAGGTAAAACAGAAGACTGATGCCGGAGAGAGTCAAGTACGCACCAATATCCGGCCAACAGTTTCCATCCAATGATAACAGATAAATGAAGGTTTCTTTTAGCCTCGTTGTTTTTGGGGGAGAAAAGTCCCTCTGCCAGCAGGATTCAAGACAATAATGCATTTTCAACTGAAAAGCATTTGCAAACATTTTTACTTTGTATTTTGGATAGATAATTCACTTTACGGTTCTTTAAATGACACTAAGGTCGGAAGCTATAAATATAATAAGTTAGTATCAAATCCATTCGCATTGCTCTTAACTCATCTGTATTATAAATTTATTATCTATACGTGTTTTAAATATTTGCAACTGCTCGAGCAATGAATAGAACTCGCCTCGTGCTTTCCCGCCGAACTGTAATCATAAGCATCTGGAGGCAGCATTCTGGGCATAGAAAGGTTCGTCTGGCAGGTCAAAGAAGTCAAGTCATCTCTTGCTTGTATTTTTTTTTTGGAATATAATCCCTTTTTAATATATATTAGAATTTGCATATCTTATGGTTCACTGTAAATATAGTCTCTGGTTTTTTGTTTTTATAACTTAAAATAAAGAATCACAAATATTAATTACTGTAACTAATTCAGCAAGAAGTAACCATAACAACAGGTACTGAATTGTTCTTGGCATTTTCGTCTTTAACGCAACTCTCGTTCTCGTAGATTTCTTCATTGTCTAACGATTTTTGGCCATCTTCAGGTGAGTTGTTTGGGGGTTGACAACCGTTTTCGTTCTTATCTAGAAGATTCCCGCCAATAATGATCTCTCTTGCCGATGATCGACGTCCCTCTTCTCTGGCGTTGCCATTTTTATGCTGCCTCTTCAAAAGAGGTTGTATCTGTGAGGTCGAGAAGTCTGATGTACTCTCAGAACTTGCTCGAGACCGTTCTGTCGACTCTGTTGGGTCTCCACAAGAAGAAAAACTCATATTGGGAATCGGAAGGAATCGGCAAGAGAATGACGAGACTTTTTTCGCGGTAGCCGAGGAGTCGACGCTTCTTGAGTGAAGGGTTTTTGGACTACTGTCCACCGAATACCGTGATGGAATACCGTACATATTGATGCTGGATCTACTGCCCATATAGGCTTTAGAGGTATTTGGCAATGAAGCTATTTGATCTAGTAACTTATTACGTAGTCTTTCAGAGCCTTTTGGGCATAGGCCCAAGCGTTTGAGCAGATCAAGAAAGTCTAGTTGGAAATGTTTGGTTCCCAAAGCATATAGATAAGGATTGGTGAAGGCGTTGATAGGATACACGAAGACTAACAGAAATTTAGAGGTCGGGACATCGATAAGCGGTGATCCATAAACAGCTATAAGACTAAATAAAGCGATAGGGAACCAACATGTGAAGTTCGAGAACACCAGAAGAGCCATCTTCTTGGCCACTCGACTCTCCACGCGTGTGGCACTTGAAGCGGCGCTTGAACAACTAGTTCCTCCAAGGCTAAAGTACATTCTTGTATAACAAAATAACACAGTGAAAAAAGCTAAGCCATTGGTTGTCAGTAGAGCTGTCACGTACATTTTAGACACTAGAGTCTCGACGTCAAATGGCAAGCAAATGGCGACCCTCTGGTAGCTGCTGATGTTGAAGATCGGCAGAATGGCCATGATTAACGCAAAAACCCAACCAAATATCATCAAAATGATAATCTGCCTTGTGGATAAATGCATGTCTAGTTTCATAGGATGAACTATAGTAAAATAACGTTCTACAGTGATAACAGTTAATGTGTATACAGCCAGTTCGGTGGAGAGGATTGATATGAATCCTGCAATGTTGCATCCAGGGCCAAACTGCCACGCCTTGGCGTGATTCTGATACTCGCTATACGTTCGTGCGTCAGCCACGGCAAGCATAAATAAGTACATTCCCATGAATAGATTGGCAAGTGATAGATTACACATAAGGACGCGGTACATCGCTGTATTTCGTTTGCTGGTGAACAGTACTATCAACTGGAGTCCATTCCCTACGAGCGCAAATATTAAGACAAACCAAGTACAGATGCGCAATCCCATCGTGCCAAGCAGATCCTCACACGGATTGAATGCATCAGGCTGAGGCTCACATATCAACTCTTTCTTTTCATCCTGCACATGTACATTCGAGTCACCAAGATTGATACACGAAGTTGGTGACAATGTGATGGTGTGGTTGTCCTTCTCGTACGAACCTTTGTGCTTGTCGAATATGTCACCAGAAGACTGTTTTTCATCAGTTTTGCTTTTCGGTTTGACTGTAGTTGAAGATGGAGTACTAGTTGGACAGACTTTAACAACAGAATAGTTCTTCAGGTTTGGATTACTCGCTTCTGCGTTGTCGTAGTACTTCTCGAACAGGCAACAGTGGAAGTGATACTCAACCTTTGCATGCCAGAGCTTCTGGAATGACTTGAATGGCAGTTCCCAAAGGCTCTTCACTTTACGGATGTTTAAGTAGTTTAAGGATTCCATTCCTTTGCCAGGAAGATTGGTGATTTTGGTCCCTTCTAAATTCCTGAAAATAAAAGGAAACTTTATGACTCAGCGTAGGTCAGTTCTTCCTTGTTCGGAGCGGACTTGTCTTTCCCACAGGGGAGGAGAAAAAGTGGTTTTCAAGAGATAAAAGATTCAGCATACAAAAATCTGAGAGTAGTCAATGTTGGATCGGACGTTCCAGAGTTGCAGAACGCGTTGCATCATGGTACTGTTTTAGTGGAAACTTTAATACTGACATGGATTTTGATTTTGATTTTGATTTTGATTTTGATTTTGATTTTGATTTTGATTTTGATTTTGATTGGATGCGTAAAATGTCAATCCAGTGACTTTTGTGAACTAAATTATAAAATTTCACTGACCTTTCTCATAGAATGTATTGGTTGATAAGTAATATCATTTTTATTCATGAATTTGTTGGAACCGGCGCAGCACAAGCTACTAGAAAGTAGAATAATTTATTAATATTATTTATACAACGTTAACTTACAATTCTCTCAGTTCTACACCATCGAAGGCATCGTCGTCGACGTACTCCAAAGGTGTGTTAAAGAGATTTCTGGGAATAAAGATGATTAACAACAATATGAGTACGACTATCTAGATGTGATTTAGAAAAAGAAAGAAAGAAAAAAAGAAAAAAAGAAAAAAAGAAAGGAAGGAAGGAAGGAAGGAAGGAAGGAAGGAAGGAAGGAAGGAAGGAAGGAAGGAATCGAAGGATGGAAGGAAGGTGGAAGTTAATTAGGAAGGTGGGAATGAACGACCAAAGACTGGGAACTAAGGGAGGGAAGGGGATGAAGCTTCCAAGCTAAACTTACAATCGTCTGAGTTTTCTGTTATAGGAGAATATCTTGCTAGGTAACCTGGTTAATCTTGATTCCGTAAGATACCTGTGACAAACGTTCAAGAGAAGTTTCATGAAAATGTTGTTGGATTCATAGTAATGTTGTTAATAAAATAAATACGACTTCATTAGAGGAGACACTTGTCTGAAATTGCAAAATAAACAAGTTTATCCACAGGGGGCAGAGGGGRGCCACTTATCTTTCATTGTTTACGAAATTGTCTTGTCGCTCCGCCATCTTGTTTTATATTATTTACCGCTGTACATAATATGAATAAACTTGAGCCCGTCAGATACCGCGCGCGCTGTGCTGTTGTGCCTTCCAGCTGGTTAGCTTACAGTGGATGATTGCTTGAAAAAATATCTATAGATTTACGCACAGCGCGCAATCATCCACAGTCATGTAAGCTAAGGCACAGCACAGCGCGCGCGGTATCTGGCGGGCTCAAGTTTATTCATATTATGTACAGCGGTAGATAATATAAAATAAGATAGCGGAGCGACAAGACAATTTCGTAAACAATGAAAGATAAGTGGCCCCCCTCTGCCCCCTGTGGTTTATCATATGACCCGTATTTGCCCGGGCGCGCGCTCTTAAAAAAACCTTTGGGTAAATGGCGTGAGCAGGGCCGTACGAATCCGTGAATGGGGAAGTCAGCTAGTCAACTGTGAAGTTTGAAGGAAGTAAGATATGATATGAAGATTCGTGAAAATATAAATTTTCAAAAAATCGAAAATTCTTATGAAAGCCTTTTTTTGTTGAAAACCTGCAAAAGAAATTAGTTTGACGCAAGACTGATTATCTCAGCCAAAATGTCTGCTTCACTTTCAATCATCTCAACCATTTGCTTCATCGATAACACCTTTATTTGTTTAAGAAATGATTTCTGGAATCAAATGCCTTAGAGGAAACTGAAAAACGTGAGACATAAATACAAACTACCAAGCAGACTTACAAGAATACCAGGTGAGGATAATTCTTCATGGTTGATATATGTAAAGTTGCTATGGGATTGAAAGCCAAGCGTCTAGAAAAAAAAAACAAGAAATATAAAAATATCACTGTTGTTTGGCATATTTAGGTGGTTTGTTATCATTACTAAGCGAAATAAATAATAAAATAACTCTTTATCGTTACCGCCTCTATTTCATTGGTATTATAAAATTATGAAGAAAAAATCTCGTGAGGAATTTAAAAAATTTTAACCTCAGCCAATATGGCGGTAGTCTTCTTCGCAACCGTCATTAGTTTCGGTCCCAGATCCTTACGGGCCCTCTAGGATCTGGGACCGAAACTAATGGCGGCTACGAAAACCTGTTCGGCCACAGGCAGCCCAATCTCTTGTTCTGTGGTGTGGTAGTATTTAAATATTAACGGTAATATTTCGTAGCGTGTAAAATTAGTGCTTTTAAAAACAAAAACGACTTTCCTTGATAGCTTGTATCTTTTGAGGTTTTGCTGATTTTGAAGCCAGTTTGGTGCGTTTTTACGGAGTTATCGTTTTTTTCGTCGTCCTCCTCCTCCTCCTCCTCCTCCTCCTCCTCCTACCATTTTCTTTAGTAGGACCTCGAAAAAAACGATACACAACAGAACAAGAGATTGAGCTGCCTGTGGTTCGGCAAAAACTAGTTTGGAGTTTTGTACTTACAGAGTCGTTACTTTTGATGAAACATTAAACTGCGGAATCTCCTCAAGCTGGTTTTTCTCTAGATTTCTGTAAAAACATGTAAAAACTTGTTTATGTGGCACTATTTGGGTTATTAATTTGAACTTGATTTTGACTGACACACACAAACTCTGATTTTGCTACATATGGTTCTCATTCTTAAAAGTTTTTTTTTGTTTGTTTGTGTTGATTATTGATCTCGTTTAGAGCCGTAAAAAAGGCTCTGATAAATCGATTCAAAGGCAGAAAACCCAAAGAAAAGGCAAGAAAAAGCAACGCCTTGTAATAAAAGCAAGGAAAAAGTAGGAAAGCAGGACATTTTGAGTTTATTAATACTTTTGATTCCATCAAAAGATTGAAAAAGAAAAATATCTTAGACTTAGACTCACAGTTCAGTCAGAGAGATCAAGTCATCCAGAGCACCTGGATGGACGCTCATCAGGCCATTCTCTTCAATAGTTCTGCCGGGGGGAAAAGGAGCATTACATTACTGGATTATTAGCTAGCTTTATTTGATGCTTGGTGAGATCTTAGGGTTTCAGGGATAAGGGAGAAATGATTTCATTGGCCACGTAAGAAACGAGTGAAGGACTGGGAACGAGTACATAGAAGGTCCATGACGAGAAAGAGCACATCGAAACAAACAGGTTTCTGCAGTATGACTTGGATAGGCTAAGTATCAGCTAATATTAGCAATCAAAAATGTCAAAAATTACAAATGAATGTATGTTTACTAAGAACAAGCGTTCCCAGTACAATATTTCTTTGTTATTTTTGAGACGTTTGCGAGGTTGCTACACAAAAGGTATGAAACCTAAAATCTTGAAACTCCAGAGATTTACTAATTTCGATGTACTCTTTCTCGTTATGGCATTTATTTTGTAACTAAGCTAATTCTAAAAACTCGTTACCAGTCCTCAACTCGTTTCTAAAGTAGCCAAATCAAAGCAGTCCTGGATGTGCACTTACAGCATTTGAAGATTGGTTAATCCAGAGAACATTGATGATGTCAGATGCTTGATTTGATTCCTACCCATACTCCTGGATGAAAAGACGTTGGAACTATGTGTTTGATTATATGTTGAAAACATGCACAACACACAACCTTCAGGAACGAGACCTTGCTTTTGTGCCCTTTTCTTTTGCTCTCTCAGTACAACTCGATCATTTCTTACAGAGTCCAAAGCAATAAAATACCAAAAGTTTGTAGTACAAAAAGACCCACATATTAAATCCAAAAGCAGCAATTAATCCCAATCATTGTCATCAGTTTATGTGAATAAACTTACAATATACGAAGAGATGTCAGATGATTAAATGCTCCGCTCTCAATGCTTGTCACTTCATTAAAGTCAAGTCTCCTGTGCAAGAAAGCAGATTACTATCAATGATAGATCATTTACCCGTCATTACACTACGATTAATAGTGACTACACATTGTCAGTAATCCCAATCAATATTTTCGAATTTTTTTGACACTTTGGGAAATGTGTACAAACTTTATTATTGACATGAGATATACTTTTTAGCTTTTGATTGAATGGTGATTAGATTGGAGCGCTGACGGAAGCATTGTCATCGCTTGTCATGCGACGTACTTTTGATAGGCAAGACGAAGGCCTGCGCAAGCAAAAGAGTAATACACTTACAGCTCTGTTAGGTTAGTTAAACCAGAAAACATGGACGACGACAGGTGTTTGATTTTATTTTTAGACAGAATTCTGAAATAAATAAATTTGTAACAGGTCGATCGTTTTGTACTTCCTCCAAATACAATGGAGAAAAAAAAAAAAAAAAAAAAAAAAAAAAAAAAAAAAAAAAAAAAAAAAAAAAAAAAAAAAAAAAAAAAAAAAAAAAAAAAAAAAAAAAAAAACACAAAAGATTATCTTAAAGCTCTAATTCACTCATAAAATTACTTCTGTGAACTAATAGGAAAAGACTAATATAGCAAATATTGGATACGCGACTCCTAAATGGTTTCGGCGCTGAACAAATGACACAGCCAGAAAGGACAATCAAAATATCCAATCAGAATGCTTGGGTCCGGAAACCACCCCTCGCAAGTTAATTGTACGATATTGTAAGCCAATCAGTTGGCATGCAGTATTCTTAATGTTTGTCATACATCATGTTTTTTTTATTGCAAAGCTACATCAAGAATAACGCTCATTTGTTGTCACTAAAAGCCCTGGAGGCATTGAACAAGAAAAACGACCCAAAGCGACGAAAAACAAGAGAAAAGCGCTTTTCATGTAAACAACGTATTAAGCAAGTTTGGGCGAAAAAAGAATAGCAACGACAACAATAAACTTACAACACACGAAGCGAGACGAGCCCGTTAAAAGCTTGAGGCTGTATAATGGTCAGTCCATTGTCATCGAGCATACTTTACAAGATATAAAGTGGGAAAAATAATGAAAATATGAAATATTTTGAAACTCGTTGCGTGCCCCCAAGAAACGCTGTTTGCTCAGGCCGAAAACCGCGCGATCTTTACATCTCTGAATTTACTCGCCGACAAAACAGTCTACAAGGCTTCCTTTGATAAGAGTGTTCAGTAGAGTATAGTTTAAATTAATAAAAGCTTCACGGCAATTCATTTCAAGCCAAAACAGTTAACTCATTTACATTTTTCTGCGGAAATTTTTATTTGGTGCTCAAAGGAAAAGCGAATTTGCCAGTGCAGTAGGATGCCGTGCCGTGCCGTGCCGTGGCATGTAGTCACAGCGCAGTACGATGTTGTGCCGTGCCATGTTTTGGAGCGTAAATGAGTTCTAAATTTCTTACTTTACGTCTAAACATCTAAACGTTAACTTACAGTGTCTCCAGATCTTTTAAAGAAGAAAACATCGACTTCGTGACATTCTGTAAGCGGTTGTTGGAAAGAATTCTAGAAGAAAAAGAAAATGTTAAGAGACACTACTAGAAAATTAGAATATCTCTGTACATATACAACAACAGCTGCAATAGCCATGGCAATGACAACAGCAATAGCAGCTTACTGCCATTAATCAACAGCAGCAGCAGTAGTAGCAGGAGCAGCAGTAGCGCAGCCCAACAGCTAGTAGTTAAATAAGCAGTACGTAGAAGTGGTATAGTAGCAGTAGTTGCATTGATAGCATTGGTAGCAGTGGAGGTAGTAATACTGAGTAATAGTAGTAGTAGTAGTAGTAGTAGTAGTAGTAGTAGTAGTAGTAGTAGTAGTAGTAGTAGTAGTAGTAGTAGTAGTAG